GGGGGGGGGGGGGGGTTGACTTTCCCCTCTAATGGATTTATCTCTGCACAACTCGTATCTGACATCATTAGGAAGTATGAGTGTATATGATATGATCAAATTGCTACAAGTCACTCAAAATCATTCCCAAAATTTTAAGAATAACGTATACTCTTAATTAACATTCTCTGAAATATCCTTCAAAAAAAGAAAGATTTCTCCACATAATTCCGCAAGTCAAGGTTTTATGGTATCTAGAGTGGGGTTTAGGCACACTTGTGTATGTGGGAAGCTCTACTAACTTGGACAGGTCTGCAGGAAGCTCTCAACATTGGAAGGTAAGTAAGCGCATAGCACTGGCTGCCTGCTGCTCGGAAAGCTTCAGGATGAGGTCCTTCTCAATGAGGTATTCGTATGGGATAGAATGATAAAGCTAGCTACAGAAATTAGTCAATATATACTCACCATATTCCATTTCCCCTATCCTTCCACGGTAGACTTTTTGGGTCTTATTGTTCTTTACTTTGTGTTATATTCTTTGCTGGAGACAGAAGAAAAAGGAGGTGGGAAATAGAGGTCAAATATATGATGGTGTTTTGAAGCTGTAAATTTGAATTCATTTTTATTTTCATCTGTACTGGCAGCTATTTATTCATTGGATATCAACTTCAATATAATGAACAACCGTAAATACGAGCTGCTATCTTTACTTTCGAATGGTGGCTATTTTCCTTATCTCAAGCACCCGGTCTGTATTTGCTCTGTCATTGTTATTTCTCCAGATTAAGAACTACAGCTCAACCTATGATACTGTTGCTGTCAAAAGGGGAGCTAACTGGAATAGTGCTGGATCTCGAATGTTAACATGGCTCAAGGATAATACATTTTGCATATTAACTAGTTTCCTAGAGAGTAGTTCCTTCAAATGGAGTGATGAGGCTAAGAGATCCTTGTGTGCTCTTATGAGAGCCATGACACAAGCTCATGGATTGGATTTCTTCTAGGCAGATTTCATCAGAACATTTATTATAGAAACCAATGCTAGTATAAGTGAGATGGAGTTATTCTACCGAAAGAGGTTAGACCATAGTTTTCCTAAGCAAGGCCTTGGAACCAAGCCAAAGGTGGATCCAGAATTTTAAGTTTATGAGTTCGTAAAACGATCTAAAACTATCTAATATATAATGATAATTAAACCAATGAATTGTGTTCCTAGATATATATTCTTATACATTTAATGAATTTTTCTAGTATAATGTTTAGGCAAAAGTTACTGAGTTCACGTGAACCAATAACCTTTGGGCTTATCCATCTTTCGTAGTAGTCTCACGTGCCGTAGGAAAATAGAGACATTACTTGCAACGTGGACAGCTTATAATCGAGACTGACCATCACAATTTGAAGTTTTTGCTGAAGCATAGAGGCACAACTCCCAGTTTGAAGTTTTTGCAGCTATATTTCTCCGATTTTTTCAAATAATATGTAAACGAGTTCCATTAATTGCACGCATTCAAACATTAAAATAAGAAGAGGGATTGTGGGGTCAATATTAATAGCTCTAAAGTGGAAGTATAGGACTAGATACGCTCACTTCTCAAGAAACCTTTATTTTACCTTATTATTATTATTATTATTATTATTATTATTATTATTTGTTTTCCCAAAATCACTTTAAATAATTTATCTAAAATTAGCTCTCATCAGCCACGCCAACCCTGCCTCATGAGGTAGGGGACTGACTAGACCTGAGCTTAATGGCCTCAGGTTTAAATTGGGGTGAACAATTTTAACCGAACAGGTTGGTTCAGGGTCAATCTCATAGGCCAAGTTCATTTTAACGGCTGTACTAGTGCATTTACTTCCGAACTACTTATTATGTAGGCATTTCTCAAGAACCACATAAGTATATGTTTGACAAGTACACTCTTATCACAAAAGTTATAGTGGGTGCACTCGCAAAGGTGCACTCATAAAGCTTTCTACCTTTTTAAAAATGTTTTCTGTTAAGAATATCACCATAAAAAGAAAGTAATATTTTCAATTGTATTATCTTTGAGTAGATGATTCTTTTCTCTTTCAGTCTTTTGTGGTTGAAGCTGTAGATTGGCCATAGAAGAAGTATACTGCTTTCAAGTTCAAAGTTGCCTTCGTAGGAACGGACAGCAAACCTCAACTCATTTAGGATTTTTTCCAACCTTTTCTCTGTTTTTGATAGGATGTACTTAAAACATATTTGATCCTGACGAAAAAATAGAAATCTAACCGATCGATTTATCCTATGAACTGAAAATCTTATAAATTAAATCTAATTTATTCAAAACCAACCAAAAGAATACCATATTCACATATTTTGTCCAGTTTGTATATATTAAAGGTAGTAGTACTACAACAACAACTGTAATTATCATTAATGATCTAAAATATTTAATTATGAACAAGCAAGAGCTATGGTAGTTGATGAAGCAGTGGCGGAGGCAAGATTTTTGCTAAGGGGATTCAGAAAAAGAAAAAGTTAAAAAATTAGAAGAGATTATAGCCAAATGGGAATTAAACCAGTGACCTTACAAAAATTTTGAACCCATTGACCATTGAACTATATTTTTGGATTGTATCAAAAGAATTCAATATATAACTTACAAATCAAATTTTGCCTTATATGAATCCCTTGACCGCCCCTGCGATGAAGTTTTACTCTTTTTGCTTTCTTTATTAAAGACAGATTTAATACTTGAGTAATTTGTTGAAGTTGAAAAGCATGATGTGTCATTTGTTGATCACCAATTATTAGCACAATAATGGGTAACATAAATACATTGTCCCCCCAAATTAGGATTAAAAAACAAATATGATAGGACCTAGACATCAGGATATGTACAGTGTTTCTGACAGCATCTTTTACCAAGCCAATCATGCATATAGATTTGAGAGGTATTATACGATTAAGTGAGTTATCCCGATATAAAATTTGAAATTAAATTTATCTTTATTTGACTATGGGTAGCTAAAATGAAGATAACTTTAATATTATAATCATGGGATTATCTATATCATATTGAAGGTGGAATAAATATTTTAATTATAATTTCAGAATTATAATCTTAAATATAATCTCAGAATAATCTGATTTTGAACCAAAGGACCTGATAGATATAATTCATTCAAACATCATGTTTGGGGAGTGGGGGTGTTGGGGTCTACTTCACTCCAAATCTTTTTTGACCTATACATGTCCTACAGCTATAAACTTTAGTAAATTTACTTGGGTATTTTGGAGCAATTATAAAAAAAATAAAAATAAATAAATAAATAAATAAAAGAGGCAAAGACATTTTTCACAGTATAGGACAGTGTACATTAATATAGTGGTCATAGTAGAGATTTACAATTTAGATGTTGCGGTTTCTAAAATAGATATCTAACTTTAGGAAAATTTATTTTATATATATATATACATACTATAGGACAATGTACATTAATATCGTGCTCATAGTAGATATTTACAATTTAGATGTTGTGGGTTCTAAAATATATATCTAACTTATGAAATATATATGATTTAATCATTTATTAGGCTATACACGGTATATATTCCCTGGAAAATCTATGAGATAACAGATGTACACAAATGAAGATTCAATGATTAAATAAATTAGGCAATGATTTTAGGCTCCTATATATTGATTGCTATACATGTTTGGTGATCTGTACATTCTTCCATTACGTACGCACTTCCTTCTATTTGTTATATGGAGTATTCATTTTCTTAATTAATTCATAAAAATATTCTTGCATTATGTTTGGGCGCACTATATATATACCCAAGGCAAGTACAATAATATGTGAACAAATAGCATTTTAGGTTTTGGTTTGAAAATGTTAAAAACTATTGTTTTTTTTTTACTTCAACGAAGATATATATTTGGTATTCGAAATTTACTGATTCAACTAATATATTAAATAAACTATACCCATCTCTCTGCACCTATCGGTGGTGTCATAAGCATGGGCATATGTACCTTATATCATGCGATGTCACGGGATACCGCTTGATCGCAGGGCCGGCTCTAATGCACAAGCCACTAAGGCAAGTGCCTTAGGCCTCCAATTTTCGAGGGCCCCATATTTCAGTAATAGTTACGAATTGCGGGAATTTGAAGTATGGGGATTGTTACACAAATAATCAGTCAGATTCAGTATTTATCTTTTCTAGCTATTATACATTGACAATACATAATTATATATATATATATATATATATATATATATATATATATATATATATATATATATATATATATTATATATGAATCATATATATTATACATTCACCGGCTATTTTTAGTTTAAGAGATTAAGTGGGTGGCTATTTGAGTTAATTCTTCTTTATTTCTTTAAAAATATATTGAATTAAGATAGAAATTATAGAAAAAAGGCCTCATATTCATATTTGCCTTTAGGCCACAAAATATATCGAGCCGCCCCTGCTTGATTGAAATTTTTCATTAGATATTTATAAGAAAAATGTAAATATTGGATATACGTATAGGAAACGACACCAATTGTCATTATAGTGATTTATTCATTGTTCATTTCTTCAAATTATGACATCGCTTATGTAAAATTCTTCGTACGATACTGGTCATAAGCAACTGTTCAACCACTAATGCTATGTTAGGAATTGGCATACATTATTTTTACATTGAGAAAGGGTTTGTGTTCAGTGATCATAATAGTGTATAGGGTACTGACTCCTTATAACAGGAGCTTGCCTCTTCACTTATTGACATTTGAAAGGGAATGAATGTATGAACAATTCAAGAAAGTAGCTTCAATGTCAATCACTAAGAAGGAAGGCACTGAAACTCAATTTCTGTAGACTGTCTTTTCATTATTAATGAGCATATCCAGTGGTCATTAGCCAAGGGATTCGATTGACACTTCGTCGAAAAATTACATTACGTATAGTTTAAATTTTTAATTTTTATTTATATATATTATTGTTGACTCCCCTTGATTTCTTTGTATGCTTACTTATTTGTATTTTGACTTCCCTTAGCGACAATTCTGACTCCGCTACTACATATATCACCGACAAGTTTAAGCATGTCCAATTGCATGGCCTTGTTAAGTTTTTTTCTATCTTTTTCCTTCTAATAAGTAACTTGCTAGCTTTAACTTTTCTTGTTTTGGGGTAAACAGATAAGGTTGGCGAAAGAAGAGAATGAAGAAAAGGAGTGGTCGAGCAATTTTGGGCATGCATTTAAACTAGCCTTTGATAGATATTAGCCCCACTCTAACCCTTTACACCAATTTGGCATCTCATTATATTTGAGTAGGGGCGGCAAAAGGCAGGTCGGGTCAGATATGAATGGGTAAAAAACGGATAATGCTAAAAATAGATAAATTATTCAACCCAGCTCATATTTAATATAAATAAAAAATGGATTCTTCGGGAATAATCTAGATTATCCATGGCTTCTTGAAAAACTTGAGAGACCCTCAATTTGAGTCTTTGTAAATTGTAAATGTGAAAGTTAAAGAGAAACTTTCAGAAATCACTATGTTTTAGTGGTTATTAGCTAGTTGTAGCTACTATTTGCTATATTACTTCCTATAGCTATATTTTCAGGTTTTTAGAGTGTTTTCGATGTATTTAAGCTACTGTATTCATGAATACAGTAGCATTTCTAGGCGTGAAACAGGGGATTACAGCTAGA